CTCTCTCTCTCTCTCTCTCTCTCCCCCCCCCCCTACAACATCCCGATGTGGGCAGTTCGTCGCCTCGCACCTACACCAAGTTGTCACCCCGCTTAGTCCGAGCATGCCCGTCAGGTTCACCCGTGTGCCACAGTCCGTCGCGGGCCCACGTCAACCCCGCACGCCCAGCACCAGCTCGTCGGATCGCCCAACTCTCTACTCACCTGCCAACTCCTGTTCGTTAGCCGATCCTCTCGACCGCGCGAACTCCAAAATCCTTAGAGAGCGAGTTAATCGCGCTTACGAAATTTATAGCATGCATGCGTGTGCGCGCGATACCCGGGACTGTGTCTGAGTACGGGGAAGAAGGAGGAAGGGAGTGCCTACGACTGCATGGCCAGGCTGTGGCATGGGGGATGTAGCCTCACTCCACACATCGATCCGGTCATGCACGAGTTCAGGACAATAGGACAGAGGACGAAGTACGCGCGCACGGAGGCGCCACAATAAGATACCAAGAGCGAGGGAATTACAGTTGCAATTATGCCCGCCAAAACAAAATTTACAGTTACACTCAGGATTAAGGCGTGGAGAAATCACAACACAGATCTTGACGCAGCATGGCGTGCGCAAGCAAGAAGCGCTGTGCAGCAGAAATTGAGGCGCGCCTAAATTCCTAATTCTAATTCTTAGTTGTAAAAAGAAATTCCCAACGAAGCAATTTCCGAGAGCCCGCGGGGACTCGACATCAGTTAAAAATTCAAAAAAAGATTTTCCCTCGCGACAATCACGCCAAAAATGGCCCATTCCCACAGCAGAACAAGAAAGAAGCTATGGCAGCGGTTATTCGTCGCGCTCGCTAAGGCGCAATCAACTACCAACCGTGACAGGACCAGGCCAGCCCGACTCAACCTGTTTCCAAGGGACGCGAGAGCACAAAGACGCGTAAAGCAAGGGCATCCACACAATTCACCAGGCCATCCCGACTCAACCCGTTTCATCCCCCGATGTAGCCTCGCGCAGAAGATCGCGCGGTTGCAGAAAGTAGTTCGTCACAACCCCCCACCTTGGGACTCCTTTTGGCCAGCCCCGCCAGCCATTTCTCCGTGGTAGGTCAACCTGCAAATTTTGTGGCATGTTAACAGCCGCATCAGAGAAAAATGGCTGGGTGGAGTACTGGTGGCTTAAGTATTGCTTAGCTGCTTGCGTGTGTGTGTGATTGACTCATGATGGGGTTGAGGGAGGTGGTCCCAAAATGGAGCTTACTTTTCACACATTCAGCTTTCCAAATGCGTATATACTAAATATATTAAAAAAACAAAAACAAAAGGGTATACTGGGTTGCTGTGGCAGCCTTCTGTATCCATGATGCGGGTTCAAGTGATTGAAATCTGGTTGAAATTGTAACGTGCAAATCATGCAATCCTGTGGCTGACCTGAAGTTCATTTTGCGGCTCGCATTACCTTTGACGAATCACCGCTGATGGAGTAAAGTCCACTGAATTTCATGGACTTGTCACTCTTGAAAAGAATGACAAAGTTCTCCCCATTGCTTTGATCCATGGCCTGCATCAATGTTATCAGATATTACAATCCTTCAGGACCTATCGTTATAAAACAAGCACTCAGTCAATGTGTAGATGTCTCATGGTTGCAAAGAAAACAAGAAGATAAAGGAAGAAAAAGGAGGAACAGTAGGGAGAGGATGGGGAGAAGGAGAAGAAGAGCATAGAAAGAATGATGACAAAGAGATGCACATGACAAAGATTGTCGTTTATCGAGACCTCAGCAGAAAAGACTTGTCATACATCTAAAAGATTGCCAAATGCCTTAGTGGATACTAACAGACCTTGTTATGCATGTCAGGAGTTGCTTTTGATTTCATATTTACTTGGTTTTGTAAAGAGGAGGAAATCCATTGCATATGTGGTGTTGAGGGAGGTTGGCACTGCGCTTCAGGAGGCGAGCATTGAGTTATCAACTTATCAGCTGTGAGTGACTTCATCTTCAGCGCACAGCATTAAGTGTGCGCAGACACAGCTGAAGCTCAAGCAAGAGCGGTGGGGAGATAGATAGATAGATAGATAGATAGATAGATAGATAGATAGATAGATAGAGAGAGAGAGAGAGAGAGAGAGAGAGAGAGAGAGAGAGAGAGNAGAGAGAGAGAGAGAGAGAGAGAGAGAGAGAGAGAGAGAGAGAGAGAGAGAGAGAGAGAGAGAGAGAGAGAGAGAGAGAGAGAGAGAGAATTGCCTGCTGACTGACGGTACACACATGTGACTGCCGATAGACAGACCGAGAGTTCAAACCCTGATGGAGTTCTGCCCCTCTACCCTTACAAGACACTGAAGACAATACAAAAAGGTCACAATCCAGATCTACTCAGGTTTTTTATTATATCAGAGATAGGTGCTTCCATTGTAATATTGGTTTTTCAAAGTTTCAACGGGAGTGGCCATCACATGATGCAGGCGGAAAGCTCCATTATTGGCCAAAGAATATGCCTAGTAAGTGTGGGACCCAGGTTCTATCCTGGTCCATTTAAATTTCTTGAAAATAGGAAGTGCGCGGTCAGTCACACTCGTTCTGCAGCGCTTGGGTGTCAAAGTGGAACCTGATCAAGCTGTTCGAGGCCGATTGTCATAAGCACACGTGACAAAAGCTCTGCTGTAAGAGAGAGAACATATGCGACACAGGAAAAGCTGGAAGTGCTTGGAATGACACAGTGAAGAAATGAAGAACAAGGTGAACTGCATCGTGCTCAGTTCCTTCAAGAAAAAATAATTTAATGAAGGGAGACGGGAAGTGTGGCTGAATCGTACACCTATATAACTGTTGATAAGGACCTATCAGTTGAAATCCTGAAGGAATCAAATCGCTCTGAATTGCAGTGGGCAAGTCAGTTTGACGATGATACCTCACGGCCGTCGCCCTTTTAAAAGGAAGGGAGAAGGGAATAACAGTTCCAAGGAGCACCCTCCTCTAAACCCCTCTGGTTGGACATTGCCCCCCTGTCTTTTTATCCAAGTAGTGCAGTAGGGGGTCAATCAATCGGCACCGTCGCTGCAAGGGCCAATTTTGACTCAGAGGAGTTCAGCCACAGTGTCATTCACTGGTGTCAGCAGCTTCGTGCTGCTACCGTCCTCACCCAAATAGAACACCCAGTCATCATAGCTGCATTTGGGCCAACTTTCAGTCCAGATGCTGCGATAACGACTGGGTCTATTCCGGTGAAGACGGTACCTTTTCAGCCGACCACGACTTCACCAAGTGTACAAACCAATGGTGACTCTCATACCGGAACCGTTGGATTAGACGGTTGGCAAAGAAATGGATTCAAATTGAGAAGTGTTGAAAACTAACTTGCGATATGGAGAAGGGCAGAATTACTATGGCGTAAATGCCGGGTTTACTCTTTAACCCATGGCTTGTTAACCCATGGTAAATCCATATCGGATCCGTTAGTTTACTCTTTAACCCATGGTTAGGTTAGTTTCACGACACGGTCTTCTCGGGTTAGAGAAACTTGGGTTTTTAGATTATTATTATTGCAATGATACTGCGTCAGTAGGGCAAAACTAACAAGCCGCACGGTGGTCTAAAGGACTCTAAACAGTTGCCGAGAATCCCGAGATATCGTAAATTGGCGGAATCGCAGTTGTAGTCGCATCCACATCCACGTGTATGTGCATGATTGCTTGTCCGCGCTGGCATGCGATGATGCTACCATCTTTCGTGGGTCAACCTCTGAGCAAGAGGCTGTGGTTTTCATCTTCTTTGGCAAAATGACAGGAGGCTTCTCTGAGTCTAGTCTCCGGTGTGTTCTCTCAAAACTTCCACCTGATGGTTGCCCTCTCCTCTCCAACTGAGAGACAACCTATTTGGTGGACAATTCCTCGGCCACCCGACAAAAACTGGACCAGAATGGGATTGTCGTTCTATCGCGCCTGGTATATCAGGTTGCGCTCTCCTCTCCAACTGAGTTTTTGTCGGCTGGTATGTGTGCATGGCATCCATGTCGAGCTCACCAGCGCGACTGGTCCAGGTTTTGTCAGGTGGCCGAGTTCACCGGCGCAACTGACGGTCCAGGTTTGCAGTGACTGAGGCATTGGCCTTTCTATGGCAATGACCGCCGGTTTTGTCTGAGGTCGTGCGCGGTCAAAGACTACCTTCATTCCCTGAATACAATGTACGGTCATTACGGCTGTATTTAGACTAACGACCGTACGTTGTATTCGGGGGAAGACTGCAGCGGTCATATTCTGTGCGGCGTATCTCTTTCACCTTCAACACCATGTCCATGCCATATTTATGGTTATGGGCCACTAGAGAGCACTGTCACCTCAGAGGAGTTTTCATATACGTGTCTCTGTGACCCTGTTTTTTTTTTTGGTAACCGGTGTTTGCAGTTGTCACGGCAAATGGATGGTTAATCCAACTGGCCTCCAGCGCCTATTGTGCGCCCCTTCATTGCCACCTGGCATGATATCAGTGGTAGTAGGCTGTTTGAGAGGACAGGAAACAGACAGGTAAGATTACAGCAAACCAGGATGTTCCAAAAGACCACACAACCCTAAAGTCTAAACCCTGAATCCAAAACCCTAAACCCTGAATCCAAAACCCTAAACCCTAAACCCTGAGTCCTAAACCCTAAACCCTGAATCCCAAACCCTAACCCTAAACCCTAACAGACCCCTGCAGACTGTTGACAGTTGAGAAAGATTGCATGTTCTGTGAAATACAGACTTACAAAAAAATTACGTGTAAAGCTAGAAAAGTTAAGAAAACTGATTTGGGGCTTCCTATTCTTGAATTTCTTGCATGATTCCATCAGTTTTCTACTTTTCCTTCACCAGTCTTAGATAACCCATTTTTGTGTTTTAGAATTTAAGGAAAGTACCTGCAGTGCCTCTTCTTTCTTCATTTGTGTGGCTGTTCCAGCTAGGCAAACTGCACGCAGAGCATTCCGCACAAGTTTTCGATTTGACATGCGTGCCGGCGCCACGTAGAATGGACTCACACCAGGAGCCAATCCTGCAAAAAAATGTCATGACAGTGAAGTGGTATTTCATATGTTTGAACTTTCTTTCCTGAGAACTTTAACTTTATTCGAAGTTTGAAATAAATTGGATATACTTCGGTCCACTGGTAAGCATCACCAGAAGAAGCATCGTGCTCCATCAAACTCAAATGACAAATAAATATGAAGGCCACATGAAGGTTGTTGCCTAGCACGATTGTCAATGATTGGTCACGAATAGAGTCGTAACACTAATGGTTAATAGGTGGTGTCATTTTCAGTGAATTTTTCACCGACACGGCCATTTTTCCCTGAAATTTTGCTCTTTTTTTTTTTTTTTTTTTGTGTGTGTGTGTGTGTGATATGTATGTGCTTTAGGGTATATCCGTATTCAGTTTCGATGTATTTGGTCCAGTAACAAAAGACCACATTGCTTGTGGTGATGCAGCGAAAAATCCCAACCCAAATTTTGGGCCTTCCATTAACCAACTCTCTGTGAACTTTTTCCCAATTCATTTCTTGCACAAAATGGAACTTTTGCTTCAGATAAACCACCAGTACGTACGTTTCCCAGCATTTTGCAGAAACGTGCCGCGAATGGCAGAATGCAGGCACGTCGGGCGGGATGTACCGGGGTGCCGTTTCGCCCCCAAACATATCCATCCAGGCAAATCGGGCCTTGCATGCTACCTGTTAGGCCTGGATGGGTGTTTTACTATTTTGGGGGCGAAACGGCACCTCAGTACGCCCCGCCCAACGCGCCTGCATGCACGGCACGCTTCTGCAGAATGGCTGGGAAATGTACGTACTGGTGGTTTGACATAATCCTTGAATAAGTTAATAAACTTAATATGACATCATTATTGGATGCCAGTGGCACTGTGTCAAGCCACCAGTCTTTGCTTGTCCTTGATGCATGACAGAAAGACATTCCTCTCAGAAGTAACATAAGTTATAATTGTTTCCCAAACTACCAGAAAAATCATCATTGTTTGCTCTTAATTGACCTCCCAGACCCTCCTCCTTTCATGACGTTACAACTTCACAGACCCCAATGCTATATGGAGTGTCCTTTGCAAAGGACACTCAAATTTGACCCTGCAAACTCGTTTTCCTGAAAAGTTTCCACAACTTGCAAACTAATCTTCCTGCTGCAAATTTGCGCACAACAGAGATGTTATGGGGCATGCCTTTCTTCTTCTTCTTCTTCTTCTTCTTCTTCTTCTTCTTCTTCTTCTTCTTCTTCTTCTTCTTCTTCGTCGTCGTCGTCGTCGTCGTCGTCGTCGTCATCGTTGTCGTCGTCGTTGTCATTGTCGTCATTGTCGTCATCGCCGTCGTCGTCGTCGTCTTCTCTTATTTCTCCACTCCTTCCTCCTCTTCTTCCTCCTCTTCTTCCTCCTCTTCTTCCTCGTCTTCTGCTTCCTCTTCTCCATCCTCTTCCTCCTCTTCTGCCTCCTCTTCTTCCTCCTCTTCTTCCTCCTCTTCTTCCTCCTTTTCTTGCTCCACCTCTTCTTGCTCCACCTCTTCTTGCTCCACCTCTTCTTGCTCCACTTTCCCTCCTCCTCTTGTTCCTGTCCCCTTCACCCCCCCCACTTCTTCCCTCTCCTCTTCTTCCTCATTGTATTTCCTCCTCCTCTTCCTCTTCCTCGTCCTCCTCTTTTTAAGCCTATTCTTCCTCCTCCTCCTCCTCCTCCTCCTCCTCCTCCTCCTCCTCCTCTCGACAGTCCGGTTCCTATTCCCCCGGCAAGTCAATGATGAATACAATGAAGACTGACACACTCTCCTCCCCATTATGGTTGAGACTCGAGAGGCCCGAGTGGACGGCATTGATTATTTCTGAATTTCCGATAGTAAAGATGTACCACCCCCTCTTAGCGTCAGTCCGGTTCCTATTCCACCGGCAAGTCAGAAATGATTACAATGGAGACTCACTCACACTCCTCCCCCTTACGGTGGGAAGGCCCGAAACACGGCATTGATTGCTTCCCAAGGAAGGATGTACCGCTCTTCACCCCTGCCTAAGTTAGCCTGCTTGACTTACTCTTGGGCTTGGAAGACCTCTCAGGTTTGTGGACCTATCTTGTAATTGCTGTGGGACTTGCTGTATGGGCTGGCTCTAGCTTTTTCTCTCAGCTACAAGGCTGTCGGATCYGTTTGTAATGCTGTTTGAGCTAATACAGCCTACTTCTGCGCCCTTGTCTAGTGCTCTACTCATTGCCTTTCTGTGCACAGTAGTGCTCTTTAGACTTTGACAGGGCTTTGGGCTTCTAATTTTGATAAGGTGCTTATCCTTCCAACGCTAAAGCCTGAACCCTCGTCCCTTATGTGCTTATGGTGGGGGGCGTGGTGTCAGGGGAAGGATGATAGGAGGAGTGAGAAGCGTATTAGGTGAGGAACAGACGAGTGGAGGTGGTATAAATTTTGGGAGGGGTAGGAGGTGGAGGTGTGAAGGATGTTGAAGGTCCTATAAGGTTGCCTGAACCTTTTTGTTTTTGTTTTTCTGTGGACGTGAGGTTGAGTGAGGGATGGCGGGGGGACTGTGGGTGGGGGGGAACTGACTCAACTGAGTTATAAGGTGTGATGTGTAGTGATGGAGTTGGGATGGGTGTGTAGATTTGACTGTGATGGGGGTTGGATAGTTGGATGGGGGTGAGGTGGAGGCGTGGTCAGTGTTGTTGGTAGTGATAGCCAGTTATTGAGGGCTAGGAAGTCGTTTTTGATTTCTCCTAAACGGCCCGATCCTAGTTTTGCAGATGAGAATTTATGTATTAATTCGGTTTTTTATCTGGGGTTTTGTCTATTTGTTTTAGAGTTTTGGTCCAGAGAATATGTAACTCCGTATCTATTGTATGCTTTACTGGGTTGAGTGGGTTCTCGGGCGTGATAGTACTATCGCCAAAGGTTAGTTCACACCTTCTTTTCCATAAGCCCCAGATGATTCCTTTCCTGATAAGAGTGAAGAAGAAGGCCTCGAAGCCTTTGAGGGGCGGGTTCTGATCTGCTTCAAGGAAAATTGTGGCGGGGCTTATCAGGACGGGCTTGTCAGAGAGGGATTTCCATATGTTTTCCATCTCTAGCCATATGGTTCTAGCTTTTGGACAATCAATGAAGCAGTGGTTAAGTGTTTCCGTTCTCTGCTGATTGCATACCTTGCACCAAGAGTCTTGCTCTGATCGGTTTGTCTTATTGCGCCTTTGTGCTAACCAATGGTTGACTGGTACTGCCCTGTATGCAATTAACCAGAGAAGACTGGCTAATCTTACCGGTTTAGTGCAGAATATTGATGACCATGGTATGGTTATTTGTGGGTTTGTTATAGTAGGTTCTTCCTTTGTCCATCTTTTTTGCAGGATATTGGTTATTGAGATGGGTTTAGAAAGAAGGTTGTAGCCTAGTCTGGGGGTGTAGTCAGTTATTTTGTGGTGCCGTGATATAGTGGCTCCAGGGATGGGGGTGCTCCAGGACCATTTTGTCGGGTCTATTTCTAATTCTTGTATACTTGACTGTGGTTTGAAAACCTTATTTTTAACTTTTTTCCCCCTTCAATAATTCTTATTCTTCACAGTGTGCTTGTTTTAAAGGAGCCTTCTGCTCTGCTCTCTTCGTTAAGGTAGCTAAGTGGGTTCCCTGGTTCCTTGAGAGGAATAATGTCACAGCAGATCCAGTCTTTATTCTGATTTTCGTAGTTTTTGAATCTGAGCACTTCCTGTACTTCTCCCGAGTCTCTTATTGAGGCCCAGTCGCCGTTTTGCCATCTCTGTTCCGATCGTAGTAGGAGTTTCCATTGCAGAGGGATGCTTTCTGTGATCTGTTTAATGTTCGTTTGCAGGTGGTGAAGGCCCTTCAGGGTAGGTCTGAGTTCCTTCTCGGATTTCCATTCCTTTGCTGCCTCGTTCCAAATATGTTGGATCTGCCATACCCCTCTTTCTACCCAGTGCCCCCATTTTGCGTCTGATTTGGAGAGTGAGAAGCTTGCTCCTTCTTTGTTTTTGATCCATGTGTTGCCAAAGAGGGGTTGTCTTAAGACTTCGTCTTTTCTTTTGGGGCCCGATTTGTTTTCTGGAAATATGTTTCTCCAGCTGCGTAGGAACTGGACCCAATGAGATTTTGAAGGTGTCGGGTTGTGGTCATCTACCTGCAATGAAGTGGGGGTGTGCTTTCTTTTGTCTGTGGGGAGTGTCCAATGTTTGTTGAAGATCCAGAAGAGGCCTGACATGTTCCTGGGTGTAGCGGACCCACCAGGTGTGGTGCTCCGCTAGTGACAGAGATGGAGATGGAGGAAGAAGGAGGGAGCAAGGTGCACAGCGCAGCTCCCCACGCAAGACTCCAACGCACATACTCCAAAATGTGCAAGTGAGAATGAGACTGAAAACAGACAACTGCTGGGGTATACCCCAGCGGACTGACRGGACTGGACTGGACTGGCTGGTACYGACAGGTACCGGCCTGGACTGGACTGGACTGGACTGCCCCCGAATAGAACACAGGCCTGTGAGAACAGGCCAAGGGGCTGGTCTCACAGGCCACCCAACCAGAGGTCCGCTACACGATCCTCGGCCTGTGATGGATCGCCTAGATACAAACACGCTTCCGTCAAGAAGCGGAACTCTACCAAAGAAAAGAAAAAAACCTGAGTAGTCTAGGATGCGGAGCAAGCCCCATGCTGAGTCCATGCGATGCAACCTAGGCTAGAAAATGTCACAAAACAGCAATGTCACAGCTAACAGCCTAAGTAAAAGCAGAAGCAACTAACNGGACTGGACTGGACTGCCCCCGAATAGAACACAGGCCTGTGAGAACAGGCCAAGGGGCTGGTCTCACAGGCCACCCAACCAGAGGTCCGCTACACGATCCTCGGCCTGTGATGGATCGCCTAGATACAAACACGCTTCCGTCAAGAAGCGGAACTCTACCAAAGAAAAGAAAAAAACCTGAGTAGTCTAGGATGCGGAGCAAGCCCCATGCTGAGTCCATGCGATGCAACCTAGGCTAGAAAATGTCACAAAACAGCAAT